TCGAACTCCTCTTCCTCGTGCTCGTGCATGCCATGATGTGGATCGGGCCGCCTGCCCCGTCCTTGGTCGTGAGGTTGGCGTTGGATGCTTCGTGCCATCTCATCAAATCTTCGGTTCATAATTTCCATGAGATCACGCACCGAAGCTTTGGTAGAGTCGAGCCCTTCTCGAAACTGCCCATAGCTTCGCTCATGCTGCGTACTTGCATGTCTAAGTTCTCGAGCTTATCTTTCATCTCTTTGTTGGCCATGGCTTTCTTCTCCCTCCTTCGCTCTTTACTATTTGGACTTATATTTTTTTTTTTTTTTTGACAAACGAAATTTAAAAGAAAAGATGGGACAAAAACGCACGATCAAACTCTCTCAATGAAAGCACCAATGATGAGAGATCGTGCGTCCGATTGCCGGTCGAGCCACAAAAGTGCCTCGGTCACGACGATAGGTTCGGAGGTTCACTCGCGCGCCCCTTCGAGTATTGATTGCAAAAGAAAACGTAGAGAATTCTAAGCAAAGAGTTGAACAAAGTTCGGTTTTTTGTATATATTTCTGAATGAATAAAATAACAAGAGCATGGGCCTTTATATAGGTGTCAAAGTAAATCTAATCCTAATCAAACTAAACAACCAACTAAGCAATAAAATATTAAGAGTCCTAAACAATCTAGAAAGCATAAAGTAATAAGAAAACTAAAGATCTAGAAGAATCCTATAGATCCTTGACTTGCACGGCACGTCCGAAACCCTAGCCGCCACGGGTCTCGCATTTGGCCGCCTCTCCTATTGCCTCGAGGACTAAGGCATCCTTGTCTTTGCGCGCGCGTGCTCTTTCCTCCTTCGCTTCTCCTAATCTCTCGAGGACTATGGTTGCGTGCGTCTCCCCGCCAACGCGTGCCCACACGCCCTCTCGGCCCGCGCCGCTTGCGTCCCCGACTCCTTCGCGCTCTTCGCCTTTGTGCCCGGGCATGCCTGCCTCGAGTACTAGCGCGTTGCATCCTCTCCGTGCTAGCCTCCTCCTCGTGTGATAAGCCCGACTCGCGGCATTCTTGAGTTGCCGTGCCGCATTCTCATCACTGCTCCTCGGCGTGGGCGCACGGCGGTGGTGCCAAGGTAAGTGCTAGGGTGAGTTTTCTGGTTTTCTCTCTATTTCTTAAGTGGTGTCCAAATTTTTGTGACCCAAATGGAGTCCCAAAGCTGAGGAAGGAGTTTATATGATGGGGAGTTCAAGTCTTGATCAAAGGAATTCAAAAACAAGACTAAAGTGGGGAACACACATTAATTCATGTGCATTGGTGTTTGGAGTCATGGGGGACATGTCTTTCTCGTTTTTTGTGGTGTCTCCATGGGTTTGCTGAGCTCAATAGCTTAGGAGAGTGTCTTGGTCTTGGGTATAGGTAATGGGGGACATTTAGGCAACCTAGGTAAATAAAATATTACTTGGTCTCCCATTCACTTTGTCTTGAGTTTGGAGAATCTTTGACATGGACGTGACCAGGGATTCTTGGACCCAAAATATCCCTTAGTGATCTGACTTAAATCACCCAAATTTGGGCTCGGTGAAAGTGGGCCAGAGGTAGGAGTTTTGGGGTCGGGAAGTTGGGCCGTCGCTGCTGGGCGCTGTCCTCAGGCGCGGCCTTCTGTTGGCTGCGGGGAATGGTGCGGGCGGCCTGCGAGGAATGGTGCGGGCTGGGCTACTGGCGCGGGACTCGTGGGCAGTGGGTCTTGGTCCGTTTGCAAGGCTCAAAAGCCACTTCCAACACTTAGAAAAATTCTCCCAATACTTAGAAAATATTTCCCCCACTTAGGTACGGTTCAAAAACAACTTGATGCCTCGAGTGGGGTATGGCTCGGTGCACGTGACTCGTGTGAAAGGCTCGACTTATGGACTTGGGTTTATGGCTTGAACTTGAACTTCTCAACACTTAGAAAAATTCTAAGTGTGATACTACTTATGATGATCTATTCTTAAGGCTCGATAACTAGTGTTCGGAACGAACGAACCATTCGAATAAAAATATTCGAATAATTAAAATGGACTTAATATTATTGAGTACTTAACATATACTTAAATAAATAAATCTTGAACTTCTTAACACTTAGAAAATTATTCTAAGTGTTCACTTATGCTAGGCTATGACTTAGGGAAATTTGTCCGGACCTAGATTCAAAATCTCGAGTCGGCTAAATTTCACTTATTAACCCAATTTCTTGGGTCGATCTTGGTCTTAACATATCTTAGAGAATTCTTAAGATAATCTAACTTAATTGAGCATTTTCTTATAATTTAAATATATCTTGAATTTCTTAAATTACGAATTTCACTTAAAAGTCGAGCAGTGAAAATCGTCTTAATAATATAATAATATTCGGGGCGTTACAGTCCTTTGTTTTGTTGGTCCAATTGGATATGTACAGCACTTCTTGCTTAGAAATTCGATCGCCTCGGATATCGGATGAATGGGTAATTTTTAATGTGTATAATCACGATGTCGGTGAAGTCGGTCGTTGGCTTCTGATAAATAGTCAGTTCTATTTTCGGCCATCTGGAAGTCGGTAATTAATTTATTCAACTGGTACCGACTTGGGCTTAGCAGCTATTTCCGGGGAAGTATTGATCAAACGAGGCGATCAGTCTTTAGCTTAATTTAACAGAGGTTTGAACCCTCCTTCTCCAAGTCGGTCATCAACAAGTACCATGGCGTTTATGGAAAGACGTCAAAATTAATGTATCAATGGCACATTGATTGTAATCGTAGTGACTAATACCGTTTGAAAAATCTGGGAAATACTAATTGGGAGTTGGGATTCGGTCTCAGCGGGTTGCACTGTGTTTACCCAAACAGGACAGTGTAACAGCATGAAATGAAAATGTCTCTTAGGTATATTGGTTGTGTCAATGATGAGTTACTGGGAATTTCACTTTTCGTATTTGGAGTTGTGAAAATACCAGGATAAGTTTCTAAACTTTGTTCCATCTAAGTCAGTGGTCATTACTCCGAACGAAGTGTGGACAAGGCTTAGGCCTATTCAGGAACATATTCAGATTCGAGGCATTTCGGGACATGTGCTGGAAAGTTGACACTGATAAGACTGGTAAAGACGTTCAGAATTAGCCTGTTTGCGGGATACTTCATTGTAAAGAGAAAGAAGTTGTTTATTTTATAGTATAAAAAATCAGACGGTGATCGTTAATACGAATGCCTAATTTTTTGAGGAATACTATATAATAACCTTTGAGCCCATTTGTAGAATGTTATAAGGAACGATAATGGTGAAAGTTCGATTTTGATACCGCGTGTACAAATGTTATACCACAATAACACCGCAACACGCATTGTGAGCAATACACCTTTGACGGAGGGACTTTGTCGTAATGGTAGGGTTGCGAGACAGCTCATTTGTTTCATGTTCTTGAGAAAGTCTCCGGAATTAGTCTCTAATGAACGCGAAACTAATCTCTGGTTATACGATGAGGTGTTCATTGTAGTGGGAGAGTTGAAAGGCAACACCATAGATTTGTATTAATGAGAGAGTCGTTAGACTCAGTCTCTATTAACACGAGACTATGAATTCATGTTCTTGAGAAAGTCTTCGGACTTAGTCTCTAGTTAACTTGAATTGATCCTTGGTTATACAACAAGTAGCTCCGAGACAAGGATATAGAATCTTTGCAGAGGCGAGAACCAGTACTGGGGCTTCTCCTTTGCTGTGATGATGACTGCCTCCGATTGTGGCGGTTTGGTCAGTTCTCGCCATGTCGTGAGGGTTGAGAGAAAAATTGAAAGAGGAGAGAAAAATGACGTGAAAGACGAGACGAAAAGGTTGAATGTGAAAAGAAAGATTGCTTGGAAGTGGTGTGAGTGATTTCTGAGGTTTGACATAGAGAGAAAGAGATAGAAGCAAAAAAGTGGTGGGAAGTTGAAAAAGATATCCCACGTCCTCATAATATCCGACAGTTATTCCATAAAACCACCACTTACTTTTTAAACAAAATGATAAAAAGAAATAATAAATTGCAGAAATCTTGCATGAGTGCAAATAGTTATTAATTTGCTAATAAAATATTATACCAATATATTGGAAAATATATTGTGAAGATCTCAGCCTAAGGGTAATTTTTCTCGAAGAAAAATATATGTAGTCAGGATTCTTGCCCAATACTCATAGCATCTTGGACCAATTTGTTATCCCAAATTAAACTTGAGAAAATTACTTGGGGCACGAGTCCATATCCTATTTATTGTAAATTAACGAAGGTTCATATTTATTTGCATACATACGATGATTAGCAAATTGACTACCAGTTTAGCCTACTTTTAAGGAAGACTTATTTTTTTAATATTGGTAAGTTGAGTTTTTTACGGTGAATGAGCAGACTTTCAGGATAAGATTTTTATAGTAGCCAAATCAATTTTTTAGTTCCATTTCAATTTAGAAATAGATCTGAATCTGTATTTCGATGTTCACCTTACAAATTGATGAAGTAAACAGCAGCAAAGTTAGGATAAAAAACCCCAAATCGCCATTTTTGTCTGTATATTATTGCTCGTCCCTAACACAAGAAGAAGGAAATATACACTCATAATCTTTGCACATATACATAAAAGATACATAAAATATACACTCGAGTTTCTCGTAATTCAAGCCAGCCACAAATTGGGACATACATATACATAAAAGATACATAAAATATACATTCGAGTTTCTCGTAATTCTAGTCAGCGACAAATCGGGACAAACATATACGTAAAATATACATAAAATATACAATCGAGTTTCTCGTAATTCTTGTCAGCGACAGATCGGGACATACAAATACATAAAAGATACATGAAATATACACTCGAGTTTCTCGTAATTCAAGCCTGAGTTTTCAAAATCTCCGCCATCTGAGTCCCGTTGGAGGACCTGGAGAGGGTGCCGGCGAGGCCGGTGCCAAGGGAGAGGGCATAGATGCAGTCGAGGGTGGGGGGTGCAGGTGACGCTGGCAAAAGAGGTGCAAGGGTCAGCGGCGGCGGACGTGAAGTTCCAGGTTGAGAAGAAGCGGGCAATGGAAGGGATCTTGGTGAGAGTCATGAATTATTTACACAGCATTTATGTATATACAATTTCCGAATTAAATTATGGAATGTCAAAACAACAACATGCCTTTTTTAATTCATCATTTAATTATCTAATATTTATCTAATTAAATAAGGTTAGTACCGTATATGTGCAAAACCATAGTTCTGAAAACTGGACCGGACCGGCCGGTTCGACCGGTTCAACCGGGAACCGAACACTTCAGCGGTTCGGTCTTGGGTGTTAAACTGCTGGACTCCAAAACCGGTCAAACACCGCTCGGACCGTTCAAAAACCAGTAGAACCGGAAAACCGGAGCCGGTTCAACAAGCCCAACGGTTACTAATTCAAACTTGATGGCTGACATTTTCACTATAAACTCTTCATTTCTTTGATAGTATTTCGATGTGGGATAACTGTTTTATTATTTTTTGTTTGCTTGTGGCGTGGGACATTCAAAAGGCCCACTAATTTCAAATGGTTGGGCCTTTTTTCTTGGCATATACTATATACGTAAGCAAATTGCATTGCTGGGCCTTTTTAGTACAAAAATATCATATAGAAATTGTCATAAATACAAACCACAACAGAGAAATGTAGAAATTGATTTTCACTCGATTTATGTATTTTGTACATTGCTGGACGTTTAACACTTTAACGTTTAACAAAAATGTCATAAATACAAACCTTACATGATAAAAATATATATAATTATATATTATACATATAAAAATAATAATAAAAAATAAATATAATTATTTTATATGTAGAGAAATGCCATTATCCACTATAAGACTAATGATAAAAATATATGTAACTATATATATACATATAAAATAAATAAAAATTATATATTAATTAAACCAGTTCGACCGGTTCGACCATTGGTCCGACCAGTGAACCATTGAACCGGTAGTTTCACCGGTTCGATGAACGGTTCGGTTTTCAGAACATTGGTGCAAATAAGTTTGCAAATGTGCAAAATTACAATTATTTAGCAACTTACACGGTAGAGATGTAAATCTGCCATTAAACTTCTTGTTGGGTTGGCCCATTTCATCTCATCCAGTTCATCCAGTCGATGTATCGTCATCAAGGTATAATAGTAGCAATCCAAGTACAAATCGAGGAAAATTGCGAACAGAGCTAAAATGGCGCTCTTGTCTACTCCTGGTACATCGTTAAAACCCTTAAACCCTTTGATTGTTCTAAATAATTCGACCCCGAAGTTCTTCGCGTTCATGCATCGGCCAGTTGTCCCAAAATCTATTAACAGCAACAGCATAACAAGAAATGGCAGAACCCAAAAGACGCCGTTTTTCTCTCGGTGTACAATCTCCAACTGGCCCGCATTAGCCGAGACCGAGCACGAAACCGAAGAAGATTTCAAGTCATCCGACGAAGTTTCAGAAAGTGAAGACGGCCCGGCGGCGCCCGCGGCGGGAATCGGGCAGACGCCGCCGCCGCCGGTGAGGCAGAAGCGGCGGCGCTACAGGAAGGCTTACCCCGGAGAGAAAGAGGGTATCACGGAGGAGATGAGGTTCGTAGCGATGAGACTGAGGAACAGTGGAAAATCCAAGTGTCAGGCTAACTCCGATGGCTTGGAGAGTGAGAAAAAGGAAGTGGATAGTGATGCAGAGGAGAAGGATGGTGGAGATGGAGATGAGTGGCAGCCGAGCATGGAAGGATTCTTGAAGTATTTGGTGGATAGCGAGCTGGTTTTCAGAACGGTTGAAAGCATTGTTGATGAATCCACTGATGTTTCTTGTAAGTTGTTCTCACATACAGTTTATTCTTATATTTTGCGATTCTGTGTTCAAATTATTGTTTCAATAGTTCCATTCATATTGCATTGTCCAAATTATTGTTTCAATAGTTCCATTCATATTGCATTGTCTCCAGGTGAAAGTAAGTTATTTGCTTTTTGCTTGCCTTTTGCCTTTTCTGATATTTGAAAGAAATTTATTTGCTTGCCTTATTGTTTAAATTTAAATAGTTCCATCTCGAGGAAGCTTTTGTGGGAGAAGAAATCTGTTAAAAAATACGATAACATCATGTGTGGAGAAAGTATGCTGCTTTTGTTTTGTATTGTCGATTGCATCTAGTTCAATTCTTAGATTGCCGAATACTTGTCGAATTACATATTGAAACTTGCAGAAACTTTTATTGTGAAAAAAAAAAAATGATGAGTGAGTAAGCGATTGCATTGGTGCCTTAAAAATCAAAAACACCTGCTCTTGTTTCTATGCAGATGTTTACTTCAGAAAGACGGGATTAGAAAGGTCTGGTTGCATTATGAATGATTTAGAATGGTTAAGGGAGCAAGGTAATGTGATTCCAGAGCCTAGCAACCCTGGCATCAAGTACGTGCAATATCTAAAGGAACTTGCTGAAAATAGCCCGCCATTGTTCCTTTCTCATTTTTACAATATTTATTTCTCCCACATAGCTGGAGGACAAGTGATAGCTAAAAAGGTAATGCGACATTTTTCTTTTAATTTCTAAAATCCTTTGATATCAGTCTGTTAATATACATTGAAAAAAGGGTTGTGTCAGACTTTTGAATTGCTGCTGGATTTCTTATTGAATTGTTGTTCAATTTGATTATATCTCTGATATTAATGTGTTCTCAATGATTAAACATGGCTTTTATCTTTATTTGGGATAAGCTCTTGTCCCAGTTCTGTATTCTAGTGCTTGAATTGGTGGCCAAGTTCTTAAATGTGTCTATGCTATATCTAATGGGTTAATCCGCAAACATTTGCGCTTTTCTTTTCATGTTATGTATATTGCGCGTGTTGAATACTTAGTTATAGTGGAGGGTTTTCCATCTTCAGCATGTAGCTTATGAATTCCGTTCTTCACTAGGTCTCGAGTAAGCTATTGGAAGGGAGAGAATTGGAATTCTATAAATGGGAAGGAGATGCTGAACAATTGCTGAGGGGTGTTCGCGAGAAACTTAATGCACTTGGAGAGGCAAGTGTCTACATTTTCTATTTTTCCTAACAATGCTTGCAGCTTTATTTTTTTAAATTTAGTATATTAATATATTTTGCATCTTTGTAGCTATTGATTCATTCTGTAATGATACATTGATACTGATGTTCTCTCTCTCTCTCTCTCTCTCTCTCTCTCTCTCTCTCAATTTTATTGTGTTTTCAGCACTGGTCAAGAGATGAGAAGAACAAATGTTTAAGTGAATCAACAAAAGCATTCCGTTTTCTGGGGCAGATTGTGCGCTTAATCATATTGTCAACAAAACTCTAGTTTAAACCACATCCACCATTTCATGTGAGTTAACCAAAGATTTTATCTTTTTTTCAGTCCTCAATTATATGTGAGTGAGAGAGGCTTGATAGTTGCAGTCTCATTTTAATTTCCTTTTATTCTTATTAAAAAAAAGCTTTGTGTTGCTAGACAGAATTTCAAAAACATAGTTTGCCGGCCTTTTATTTGCTGTCATATGATTCGTTACCGGGAAATGCTCGTGTATAATGCCATTCATTTCTTTCTTTCTTTCTTTCTTTCTTCCTTCATTTTTCAATCATTAGAAAACAATAAATTTCTGGTTTTCTGTTTATCCTTTTTATACAGGCACACCAATTCCGTCTATGCAATTGATGCAGAACATGAGGTTGAATCGAGATTAGGGCAGAATTGTTCATGAACTTTTGTCTTAGGTAAAGAACAGCTTAACAGAAGTAAGCAGAAAATCGATAGTTAACAAAAATCCTTAGGAACATTCAGCCAATTGTGAGTCGAAGAACATTTTCAAGGATTGTAATGTAGGAATACCTTTTGCAAGAATGTATTTGAGATTATAATGGTTACGAAAGGTTTGATCCGTGAAGTAAACAAAACGAAAAAAATGTGTCCGTTTATTCACGACAATAGGTGTATCGAGCATTTTATCTTTCTCAAAGATATTATGTATTTTGCAAGTGTAATCTAACTGACTTTGCTTCAACTTGTATGATATTTGAATGAAATGCATGGTCATTTGAATTAGAATTCCCATATCAAGTCCCTTGATCATTTATTCCAGTTTGGTGAATAACAAAATGGTCAACAATCCTAACAGTGTTGACTGGGTCTTGCTGAGACGACGCTGACCGCCATTTGCTCGGAAATCTTCTTCTGTAGCCAAGGCTCTGTATTAGCTTCGACTCTCCCTCCCAGCACGGATCCACCTTCCACGCCTTTGGAACCTATAAAATAAAAATAATAAATGCATAATTTAGTTTGTTCTGCAGTAGGTGCAATTTATTGTAAACTATGAAGAAGATGTAGGAATCAGAAATTGTAACTCCAGCACAAAATTTATTAATTTATGATTTGGACACTCAAAAGTATCAACTTCCTGCAAGTTCAAGATTTCCAAGATTCCCACAGAAAATGCAGATGGCCAAAAAAACACATGTAACCAATTTTCACCATAGTCAGAAATTCATATTTCTGACCTTATCCACAGCAAGGGTGAAAACCTCGAGATGGCCTTTGGTGTTTATATGGAAGCGAGTGAAGGACTTGTAATTTGCAATACGAAGGGAGGAAAAGGCCTCGTCAAAGTGCAAATGAAGCCAGTTGATGCACACATAAAGATAGCTCCCGAAAACCAAAGACACAACAGGAGTCGAGAAAACCCAGAAATAAAGAAAAACGGAAGCATAGTATATGGCGGCCCCACCTCTCGAGAGGGAGTGCATCCCGTTTTTACAGATATTATTCCTCGTGACAGCCATCACCTGCACCAAAAATCATATATTTATCATCTAACACTCTCCAAATCGAAATCGAGTTTATATTATTATTATTATTACCTCAGGGACATCGAATGCAGACATTAGATACTTAATGCATGCAGGATAAAGGCCAAACGTCCATTGCTCAATACGTGCACGAAGTCCAGTTCGATCCGGAAAATGCTCGATCTCCACTGACCGGTACCATTCGTACAGAGTGTGGTAACCTGAGATTCAAATCCTAGAATATGATTAAAACCCTTGTCATCTTTATTTTCACAACACTATTTCACATCTCTTTATAATATGGAAATACATGTAATTTGCAATTTCACATAATTTTTTGTCATCGGTATATAATAAAAGAAAACAAGTACATCTCTTTATTATCGGTAGATGTAACCTATTTCAGAACTCCGATTAATTAATTATCTTTATTATCTGTAAAGAAAGAAACTCACCAGAAGTGGCCAATAGTTTATGCCTGATACACGTCTCAACACCCAATTCCAATAGCAGCATTAGAACCAATGTGAAACCAAGTGAGCCGAGAAATGGAGAAACCCAATTAAAAATCTCCTCTTTCGGGAGACTTTTGAAGGCACAAAGGTGACAGCCGCGACTAACAGGAAGAAAGCACCGGCTGACGATACATACGAGTGCGCAACCATGTACATTAAACCATCACATATCGTGCCTAAAAAGCTCTTTATGTGACCCGAAATTGTGTTATCCTGTAAGATGTGATCTAGCTTACACTAGAACAAAATTCCGATAATTAAATAACCTTTCTGCAGAATTCGATAAGTTGCCCAAAAATAGTTATAAAATTCCTTCTTTAGAAATTACAAGTGCCCTGTTGAAGTCCTTACATCCTTTCCTTTTATAGTATACAATTTGAGAAAATATCAACAGGGTTGTTTATAATTTTTTATAAAACTAATTTTATTCACCAAAGCAAAAAAAAATTATCAACTTTTGAATTTAACATGAACAAAATGATACCTGAGGAAACATGGAAAAGGCCAAGACGAAGTATATAATGCCACCAATGAAATCAAACTGCCAATTTTTCTTGCGAAACTTCAATATATTTCCTAAAGCAATCTGCGCCAGAATTGCAAAAGCGCAGAGTATTGCACTAGATTCAAATGATAATACAATTTCCAAGACAATGTTAACATAATATTGCAGTTTTACATACCTTGCTCGAGTCCTCGAAAGAAGGATAAGACGCCTTGCTTTCATAGGATGTGCCATATATATTGTCAAAATCATGAAAGACGTGAGTCGGGTGCAAAAAGGCCCCACCACAGCCATTGACGAGCAAATGGTGGACGTGTAATGGCTTTTCCGGTGATGGAACGTACGAACGGCGCATGTAATGATACAAGTCCCCGGCCATTCGGAGATTACACATGCCTCTTAAATGGTCGCGTGTTAGATACGGAATATTTTTTCCGGTCGATAAATTCCAGTAACAATCGAGAAGCCAATTAGGTTCGTGGGTCATGATGATCACAGAATCATTTTCCCACACCTGGACAAAAAATACATAATAACCAAAACCACAACTGAAGTTTGGTGTATTCATAGAAAACACCATCAAAGTTACAAAATAAAGAAAGAAAAAAATTAAAATAAAACTGAGTCTTATACTTTCCCCTTCATAAGCCCAAAAAAATTGCAAATTACACGAGAAATATTTCTTTTAAATCCAGTTTAATATACATGCAACAATCAAATATGCAGATCATCAAAATATTAACGAAACAGATTACCTTCTCCTTAATCAACTCCAAAAAGAACTTGAATTGATAGTCATCACTATCACAATGCAGAGCAAGGTCGAGACCGAAAACCCACCATCCTTTTGGCAGCTGAAGGGTGAAATAACTTTTCTTCTGGGGCATCAACCACCCACCTAACCAGCTATTGTGGCATATGTACCGCATGAATGTCTGCAGCCCGTCAAACCAATCTGTCAACCAGGAAAGATCAGAAAACAATAAAATAATGTAAAATAGTATAAGGCAATAAGAAGCTTGAATTGAGCATGGGAATAGTTCAAAATCTAACCAGAAGGTTTGGTTTAANATTAAAAATTACGATGGGCCCCTCGACGAGTATTTATAATCTTGAAAGAAAATTACTTTCTTTCTTTATAGATAATTATGTTTGCATTGGAAAGTACCAGGAAAAGTGATCTACAAAATGCCCATACCAGAATAGAAACTTACCGTGATTTCCTGGTATGACAAAGCATTGAGGCCCTTCATACTGCCTTAGTGTAGGTACCCCACCAGGCAATTCTGGTTTGTTTACGGCTACATGCTCTTCCTTGTACCATACAGGAGGCTGAAGAGCATATTCAAAGGGGCGGAAAAAACGGCTCTCATAGGTAAATGAAGATGGATTGGGATAACTGAGACAAATTACATAAAATTCTATTTAATACATAAAGTGTTGGATCTATTTGGGATTAAATATGTGTAATTAATACATTGGGTCATTATATTGTTTAGCCAAATTAAGTGATCAAATTTTGTATATTGGCTAAGGAACTTAATTTGAATTGTGGAATAATTAAATGTGGACACCCGATAATATTATTATTTGGTGACGTAACAAATAATAATATTAAACTTAAGGACCTAAATAACATATAATTTGGGTCAAATTATTTATGGGTGGAGTCTCCAAAAGCCGTGAAAAATAAAGTGATGCCCATTAGGATAACCCATAAAAAAAAAAAAAAGGATTAGTTGGTAGTTGCCGACACTACCAACATTAATTGTTTCAATTGACACAATTATCAATTATAAAAGGAGGGTTGGGTTATCAATTTCTATAAGATAGAAATCAGTTTTCTTTCAATACGTCCGAAAGAAATAATAAGAAAAAATTCACGGCCTTTTGGAAGATTTCTAAATCCCAAATTAAATTTTAAGTTATAAAGGGATCAAGTTCTAAAGAGATCAATCAACATGAATCCATCAGGTATGCTTCCGCTATTCAATTATGATTCTCAATTATTCAATATGAATGCTCCTGGGATTAATCGATTTATATCGAATAAAGTTATATCCAATTCTAACAATTGGTATCAGAGATAATTCATCTTAAATATTTGGGAATAGTTGGGCTTTTTCTCTCGGATTTATTTCCGAATTATTGAAAGATGATAATTGATATAAGCAATTCATGTCTATGGTCCTGTGGATAAATTTAATTTGCCTCGAGTGTGTCAAGTAGTTGAATAAACTATTGGTTGATGCTTGATACATGATTTACGGATTCATCATAGATATAAAACATCTTGTTGCAAATTTTCTTGTTTGAAGTTTGAACAATTTGTGTCAAGTTTTCATTGGTTGATTTGCAACATTTACATCAATTATTGTTTAAGAAGTATGATTCATTATTGTGATGAAACTTTGAACAGACTTTCACATGGGTTTAGATGTGAAATATAAAGTTAATTGATTAAGAAATGCCACTTGCAGTTGAGGTTTAATATTAAATATGAAATGAACATCATTTGGATTGTTGATGTACATAATACACGCAAGGTTTAAATTTCCTAAATTAATTGACATCAGGTGTTGTCTTTTGACAATTAAGTTGAGTTTGATTATTAAATCATGAATAACAACTGATTTAATATCCATTTAAAGTTACATGGCCGATATTGTAATAAATATTTGGCATTACGTGTATAATTTTAAATGGATTGATTGAAACAAAATGTTGCCAAAGTGACCTCTTTTGTGTAGATTGATTCATTTAAATATTAAAGATTATTGTATTTTTATAATTCATGTGTGTGTTATTTAACCTAAAGGTGAAATGACACATGGCCGAATTGCAAACATACCTGTGATAATAAATCTGTGACAATTATACGGTTTTCATGTGAATAATAATTCTATCCAGAGATAGCTTTATTATTTGACAGAATTTATTGTCAAGATTTGATTATTACAACAAGAGTACCGCTTACAGTTAATATTACTATCCAAAGATTTGATATTAATGTTGTGTTTGGTATCTTGCTATGGGTTTTAAACCATATTTGGTTTAAATAATTTATTATGGATAATAATGTGAGTATCACTGTTTATTATTCTCATCAGGTTCTTCATCTATGGTATCTACCAACTATCCTGTCCCCACTTTATCTGGGGATAACTTTAAGAACTGGAAAGAATCAATTTTGATTCATTTGGGCTGTATGGATCTAGACTTGGCATTAAGGATAGACCAACCTACGGAGAAAAGCACTATTGAGGAAAAACAGTGTTTTGAGAAGTGGGAAAGGTCTAAACGTCTAAGTCTTATGATCATAAAGAAAAGCATACCAGAAATCTTTCGAGGAACGATATCTGATGATATCACTTTAGCTAAAGAGTTCCTTGTCGAGATTGAAAAGCGCTTTACCAAAAGCGATAAGGCGAAAATGAGTACTCTTTTAAAGACACTCATTACCATGAGGTATCTCGGCAAAGGTAACATAAGGGAGTACTGTTGGGTTCGATAGTACCGTACGGGCTTTAAGCAGCGGAATTTAAAATTTTTCAAAGTAAGTATTTATCGAATAAATACAACACCCGTACATACTAATTGCGAATTAACTGATCGTCATCTTTAAAACATGCATCACATACAAATTTTGATTTGTTATAATAAAGTAAATACAAATACAAATAAATAGTATTTACCGAGTAGTTCTTGAACTCCTTCAATTTAACCGAAGTGGATTGTGGGAATCGGTTCCCGGTTTGTAACGTCAACGGATTGAGGTTACTCGCTTGAGGAATCCAAGTGTCTTCCCTCTAATCGTATCCACCCTATGAAGCCCGGTTCCGACTACCTTCCTTCGCTAGTAGGAATGTCTCGGTTTTCTCGTATAGGAATATATATATATATATATATAATTTGGGAATTTCCAAGAACACTTTCTTGAAATATATGAAGAACACTTTCTTCTCTCTTTGAATTTCTCACAAAATCACTTAGCATAATTTGCAAACATTTTGCATCTATTTATACTAAACATTTTAGCATAAAATAATCAATATTTAGTAATATTAAATAAAATCTGATTTTATTTAAAAATCATATTACTAACTATTGACTTTATATATAATAAACAATGTTAAGTAGTTCAAACAACCATCTAACCACCATTTATTATATTCATTTTATTATTTTAATCCTTAAATCATATTTAAAGATAAAAATAATAATATAATAATAAATCTTGAGAATCTATTCCAAGACTTTATTATTATATTCATTTCCCAATTTTCATCCATATTATAATAATCATATTATTATTATTTTGGATTTGAAATTTAAAATCCTATTTTAAAATTCAACTTTATTAATTTAGTAATTACTTTAATTACTAAAGTAATATCCAAAATGTAATTAATCAATCTTATTGATTAATATATTCCTTTAATTGACATCTAATCAAATTAGATATTTATCAATTAATTCTAACCATTAGAAATACAATCTTTACCTTTGTTCATAATTAGTGTGACCTTTTAGGTTCACTATTAATACTAGTAGTGGGTTTACAACACTTTGTAATTTGAGTTAAATCTTATTAACTCTTATTCAAGAATTAACCCCTTAATTCATGAACCCACATATCATGGTAACACCTAGCAAGTATCATGAATCTAGTATTAAGTGAATAGCGAGTAAACCTATTCCGATTACAACTCCATACATGTAAAATCCTTTCGACATCTAATTTCCCGATTAAGTCTTGGGTATGATTTTGTCGAAACCCAAATTGACTTAATAACTATGATTCTATTTCATGTTTATTAACCCGGTTATGAATCACTATTCATCTCTGCCTTGGCCAAGGACTTTGGATTAATAACTATGAAACACATAGGAAATTCACTTATCTTCATAAGTGTCGAATCCTTTATTGGCCACTAACAAACTTCCATACATATTAACATAATACCCAACTTATCCCTTTAAACGATAGTGCTAGCTACCAAAAGGATAAATCAAAGTAGAATGTAATATGCACAAAGTTACCATTGTGCCTCAAGTCTTAGGATTAGTCATGTACTATTGTAACATGAAAATTCTTATTCGACTGAATAAATTCTTCATTAAGAATTTTCATACGGTCATGTTCAGTGAACTTGTTCTCTAACAAGCACCCACATAAATGTACTTACGTCTTACGCTAATGTTGATGGAATGCAACATTCTTGTCCAACAAGCATACAAACTATGTGCAAGTCTTTTATGGATTATTCGATATCCCATCTCGAAACATCCATCGACTTGGAACTGTATTTAAGATCACGGCTTTCAAGGTATGTTCCATGATCACCATCTCTATGCGCAACCATACCTTATAACCATAAGTGATCTAGGGATTTTATCTTAAGTGCAATTATAAGATAAATGCTTTCTCTTAAGATAAAGAAATGCCTTATTCATAATATAATTCCAATAGACTGTATTTACAAGTAGAATACGTCCAATTAGATTGGAACGCCGGGTACCCTACTCTAACAATCTCCCACTTGCCCTAGTTCCAATCACTCAGGTATCTAAGACCCATCTTCTCAAGATGTCCTTCGAACACTTTCTGTGATAAGGGTTTAGCTAAGGGGTCTGCTATATTTTCTGCTGAGTCGACTCGCTCCATCACGACATCGCCTCTACCAATGATTTCTCTAATCAAATGGTATCGCCTCATAATGTGTTTGGATTTTTTATGAGATCTTGGCTCCTTTGCTTGCGCAATAGCCCCATTGTTATCACAATAAATCATTATTGGATCAACAACGGATGGTACTACACCCAACCCTTGGATAAAGTTCCTTATCCAAACAGCTTCTTTTGCAGCATCAGATGCAGCAATATATTCAGCCTCTGTCGTAGAGTCAGCAATTGTTTCTTGTTTGGAACTTTTCCAACTAACTGCTGCTCCATTCAGAGTAAATAAGTATCCAGACATGGATTTATAGTCGTCTTTATCGGACTGAAAACCAGAATTCAGTTCTCCATTGCCGTATACCATAAAGATATCCTTAGTCCTTCG